TAAAAAAAAAAAAAAAAAACCCTCTTTCAACATGTTGTTTCCATAAATTCATGTCACACGGCGTAAATTCATCATGTCTCACGATATTTAATTTAAATTAATTTTAAATTAATTTGATTAAATTTAAAAAATATTACAAGTTGACTCTTTTCCTGTCTAATCCTTATTAAGTAAAACTAATAAATTTTTAAAACGAGTTGTTTCAAAAAAAATATTTCAAATTGATCTATAAATTAATTCAGTAATCCAATCATTCTTCTTCTTCTTCTTTTCAGAGCAACCCCGGCAAGATCTGAGAGGATTGTTTGCCCCATTTCTTTGTTTTGATGTATACCAATTCCAAAATTCGTATAATAATAATAATAATTATTATTATTATTAAGCAACGAAATCATATTGATTGACAACACATCCACTGACTGTCTTATGATTTCAAGACCCTCGATTTGACGTTTGACTTGTCTTTTCACTCTTCACTCCCTCACCTTTCCCTTCTATGTCCGCTCTCTCTCTCTCTCTCTCTCTCTCTCTCTACCCCTCTCTCTCTGTCTTCCATGTCAAGAATTTATTTACAATACACAACCTCTGCGCTGTACAATACCATCGCCACACTCTCTATAGGTAGGACGCCCTCAGAGTTAGGTATCCACTAGGTGCCCACCATGCCCTCATTAACTTGCTACATTAAAATATGAGGCAATAATTTCTTCTTTTTTTAAAGAAAAAAAATGAATGAACGAGGCATTAATAAAAAAAAAAAAATTAGATGGAGCGAAGGGAAGAATCTTTTTTGCTCGGTGTACAGTGGGAGGTAGATTGTTTTCATGTTACTATTTTGAATTTAAATTATTAAAAAATACATATTAATAGGAGTTATTTTTATAAATATAATTCTTAATTTTAGAGTTTCGTATACTTATTAAAGAAATTTGATTTAAAAAAAAAACATTTACAACTTACAAGTAAGTATTCAAGAAAACTTATTAAATCTTGAATGCATTAAGATTAAGGATTCATTCTCCCTTAATGTATATAACTTAGCCTAAAAATATTCTCATCTCAAATAAAATAAAAAAATAGATGTTATTATTTGAAATCTAAAATATAATGAAATAGAGATTAACTCTTGAATGCAAAAACTAATTTGAATATGTAGTGAGCATCGATAAATAATTTGTTTTTAAATAAAATAATCCAAAAATAGATTATAGTGTAGATGCATTTAGACATGTTTTATTAGTTTTTATTGGTGTATAAGTTTGTCTCAAAATATTTTTAACATCAAATAAAAATAAATAAATAAATAAATATAATAATTTGAATGTACATAATTATCTGAAATATGATGGAGAAAGAATTAACTTGTGGCTGTGAAACAAATGATTAAATATTTTTTTTAAATAAAGTATAACCAGAAGGATTGTAGCATCGGTGCACTTGGAGATGTTTTATTTCATTAAGAGTTTATTTACTAACATGGTAACGGTTTTTTTTATTTTTAGAAATATATTAAAATAATATGTTATTTTATTTTTTAAAAATTATAATTATTAAAAAAGATATTTTAAAAATACAAAAATAAATTGACTCTAATAGCTATCTAATTTTAGGAATC